ATTTTTTCTCCCCAATTTTTATTTAATTTATATAAATGTCATCATATTTACTTATCATTTAATTTAAAACAGATTGTAAATAAAACCAATAAAACTTTGTAAAAGAAATATATTTAATAATTTTTAATCATTAGGTAATAATCAACCCATCAATTATAAATTAAATGAAATAGTAACAGCTGACACATTCTTATTTTCTAAGTAAAGTTCTTGTACTTCAAATTTTTTACTTGTCTTGAATTTTCATAATTTGAGTATTTACTTAAACAGAATTGAATAAGCATGACTATTTACTTGTACTTCTAAAAAGCACTTCCAAGAAAGTATATACCCTCAGAAACACTCATAAATTTGGTGTGAATAACCATCAGCAAATACTTGCCTAAAGAGTAAATACTTGTTTTTCAACTAGTTATCAGTAACCATGCTTGTTTAAGTTAACTTGTTGATAAATGCATGTAACACATTCAGTATGGTGTAATACACTTATTTAAATTATGTATGACTCTAGTGATTTCCACAAAATAATGCTTGGGTTGAAGATGGAACCTTTGTGGTATTCCTTCGTTATGTTCAAGCTATTTGTTAATGAAAATCCATCCACAAGTCTCAATAATGCAAAAACCTTCACTTTTTACATGTTTAAATGAAGGCCTTAGACCTTCAATAATATATATATAATTTATCATATATAGCCTATAATAAGATATAATATACTTGTACTGTATAATGTTTACTTTAAAATGGAGTACACTTGCAAGTATACCCTCATATCCGATAGATCAGTATACCATCTCATTTAGGAAGTAGTACCTGGGGGACCAAGCTTTGCTCGGGGAAAATCATTAGTTTACTCTGAAAACAGTTTAATATTGCAGATACATTAATCCACTCCCAAACTCCACACTGCTTACCTTTACTACTTCCTTCACCACTCCCTACGTTGTGGACCTGTTTGCCCTTCATTTTAGATTTGCAGATCTATAAATGCCACAGACAGTTCCCCACTCTGCACTGCTAGCTCTTACTACTTCCTTCACCATTTCCTACGTTATGGACCTGTTTTCCTCCCTTTCTCATAGCATTTTAGGATTGTAGAATATAACCCTAATCTAATCCCCATTAACAGTTCCCACAACTCCAGACTGCTCACTCTTACTACTCCCTTCACCACTTCCTACGTCGCAGACCTGTTTCCCTCCCTTCCCATAGCATTTGAGGATTGCAGATACCTTAATCTAATCGTCATAAACAGTTCCACACTCCACACTGCTAGCCTTTACTATTATTGATAAAAAAGTCCTCCTACAATGTATCCAGTAATCTTCAGTATCATCTTTGCTCAATAGTAACAACTGATGTTTTTCCTTTTGTACTGTATTTTGTAATAATTATTTAATAATTATGTAATTATGTAATAACTAGCTGTAGACCCACGGGCTTTGCCCCGTTTAACTTCTTAATTTCAAGATTATCTTCGTTCGCATGGCTCAATCACGTCCTGGTTGAAGTTTGTTCGCATACGCTCACTCACCTTTAGGTTGGAGCTCGTTCGCTACGCTCACTCACCTTTAGGTTGGAGCTCGTTCGCTGCGCTCACTTGCCTTCAGATTAGCTCGTTCGCTACGCTAACTCGCCTCCAGGTTGAAGTTCGTTCGCTACGCTCACTCACCTTTTGTTTGCAAATTAGCTGTTGTCATAAATGTAAAAGAAATAATAGAGTGCTGCACCCTGTTGGTAATCCTTGTAACTTTAATGCTATTGAACATCATAGACCAGAACCAACTTGTTTAATTGAAACAGCTGTCAAGATTCAATAATTCCATTTCTCATAAGGTTAACATGGGAAACTCCAGAGCCACTGGGGCGGAGCCCAAAAGGATTTTTGAAATAAGAATATGCCTATATGTTAATCGGGAATGTGAGCTACCATCATGCCAAATTTCAGCCCAATCCGACCAGTATTTTTCGCGTTCACTTGTCACAAACATACATCCATACATCCATACATCCAAACTTTCTCATTTATAATATTAGTATGATTATTTATAAGCAATTATTGCTAGTATACTGTGGATAGACTACTAACATGGTTACTTAGCAACCCATAAGTCTTTCAGTTTCATTTTTCTACGTAATTAGAATTTTGTTGGCAGTTCTAACTGCAATAAACTCGTTTTTAGACCAAAAATAAACTATTTACAACATTTGAAGACAATCGTCGGAGCCGTTTTCGAGATCTTGGTGCAAGCATACATACATACAAGCAAACATTGCTCGTATTAGAGTATAGGATTTACTTGCAAGTAAAGAGTCGCTTTTATTCACAAGAGATTACCTGAACGATGAATACTTGCAAGTATTTACTCGCAAGTAAATACTTGCTGTACTTGTATTCACTCGGCCCAGTGGTATGCTAGTGAAATCTTTTACTGAAATAAAAGTTTTTGAACTTGAACACACACACTGACATCCCAGATATTTTCACAGAGAACCTACAAACATAAACGTAGACCCATGTTGAGTAACTTGTGACACTGACAAACAAACAAAATAAACAAGTAGGCCTATAGAAAATTCACAATAAGATATTTCTCATTTAAAATAGCCTAATCTTTATGTTCATTTTGTTGTTACAGTTTCCAAGATGAAGAAAATGTTGTAAATAAATGTAAATATTATTTGTGTGTGTTAGTGTGTAATATAATATGTGTTAAATTGTCGCTTTTGAAGAAGAATTTATTTTGAAGACGAAGACCAGGAATTTTAACACGAGGTATGTTACTAGTTTTAAAATGTTCACAGCTGAAAATAGGCCTACCTGTAAGCTATAATTTAGAATGACATGGAATTAAACTTTTTCTTTCTATACTTTTGTTATTTAAACAGTGTAAACAACAAGTAATAATAGTTAGGATTTTTATGTAATTCATCTTTATTTGGACTTATATAGCTATTTGTAATTTTTAATAATTATTCTAGAAATAATTTTCAATTAACATATTTAGACTTATATTTAACATTAAACGGCTACTGTACTTTGTTCCCGCGTAATTTAAAACAAGCTCGGTGATGACAGAAGCAGAAACCCGCGGTCAGATGTTTAGTTCGGATTTCAATTCCGCTGTCCCGTTTCTAGACAGACGAAAAAAAGGCGGTGACGGTCTGACGGCAAGGTCTCGTAACTGAACTGAAATGCCGAAATGGTTGTCAGCTGTTTGAGGTTATGTTGTTAACTGAAGTAGAGCTTGATTATTCAAAACTTACCTATTTTTTCAATTAACTTAGTTATTTCTTTAATACCGTAAGTGTGTGGTCCTTATCAAAACAAAATGCCATGTGAAATGATAACATTGCAACTTGGCCAGTGTGGTAATCAAAGTGAGTATGAGACTCTAGCCTAGGGTTTGATGTAAGTTAGGCCTATAATTTAATGTCTTCGAAGATTTTTAGGTCTGACGCCAAGCCATTATATAGGTAACAGTAGTACAAATTTAACATAGCCTATTGTCAAACAAAAAGTTGTTTAACCTGTATTGTTCCTGGGGAGATTCATTGTTTTAATTATGTTGAGTTTTACCAAATTCTCATGAAAATATGTTATGGCGTACACACCCACACCAAGCTCTGCTGCAGGACCGTTGAATTCCTAATAAGTTACACACCAGCCTGACTGAGACGTGATTCAAACCCTCGATCTATGATGTCTCCTGGCCAGAGGGACGCCTTTATATTATTTTACAAACTGATCAACCTTTTAGTTTACCACACTAACAATAATAGGCCTAGTAAACCCAAAGCCAAAGTACCTATTTCTTGTTGTTCTAACTTAATCTTGACTTTCTGCTTACAGCGTATGTCGTTAGGTACATTAACTTACTTACAGCTCCTAACTTAGCACAAGAATCAATGTGAGTCAAGATTGAATCAAGCAATGTGGTTCTGATTCCACTATAAACTGTAAGTCCCTTAGTTGTCATTAGCTGTATATGCTGTTAATTAACAGCTGTGTCTAAAGCACGGGTCACACTAGGCTTCTTGACAGCCGCTGGTGATAAGCGGCTGGCACCAGCACCAGCAAGCATCGGCTTTTGCACGGGTCACACTAGGCTGCTTGTCAGCCGCTGGTGATCAGCGTCCGTGGGACCTCTTGTAACGATTTCTTAATCGATTAAGAGCTTAAAAAACTAATAATTTATTATATGTTGAAGTGTTTTTGTACATTTATTGGTTACTAGCTGTACCCGCGGGCTTTGCCCCGTTTAACTTCATATGTGAGCTCGTTCGCATGGCTCAATCACGTCCTGGTTGAAGTTCGTTCGCTACGCTCACTCACCTTTAGGTTGGAGCTCGTTCGCTGCGCTCACACGTCCTGGTTGAAGTTCGTTCGCTACGCTCACTCACCTTTACGGTTGGAGCTCGTTCGCTGCGCTCACTTGCCTTCAGGTTAGCTCGTTCGCTACGCTAACTCGCCTCCGGGTTGAAGTTCGTTCGCTACGCTCACTCACTTTTGGTTTAAAATTAGCTGTTGTAAAATATAAAAAAAAAAAAAATAATAGTGCTGCACTCTGTTGGTAATCCTTGTAACTTTAATGCTATTTAACATCATAGAACAGAACCAACCTGCTTAAATGAAACAGCTGTTAAGATTCATTAATTCCATTTAAATATGAGTACTCATTAGGTTAACATGGGAAACTGCAGAGCCACTGGGGCGGAGCCCGAGAGTCCGATCAGAATAAAAACCACTTAGTTTTCCTATTTAATGCCTAAAGAATCAGTGTACCAAATTTCAGCCTCCTAGGTAAGTGGGAAGTGGGAGAATTAGTGATGAGTGAGTGAGTGAGTGAGTCAGTCAGTGAGGGCTTTGCCTTTTATACAGGGTGATTTGTACTCAGTGTGACAAAATTTTTTTGATGTAAGTACAAAGTAAATGAAGTGTGATGATGCATATCAAATGTTCCTAGTCTCAAAATTAGCGTCCCAAAAAATTATTTTATGTTTTTCAAAAATAACCATGCTTTTAAACTTAATAAAGCGATTTCTCAATTACCTGAATATGGATTTGAGTAGATAATGCCATTTTCGTGTTCTACATTAAATTTTGAACAAGAATAATGGAAAATGACGGAGGATCAGTTGTAAAAACTCCATTGTAAATAGATTCAAAGATAAAAATTAAGATATTTGATAAAACTTTTAAAAACAATGGTCTATTGCATTTTTCACACCCTGTATACAAGAAACTGTCGGAATATGTTAAAAACTGCGCCATTTTATAAGCTTTCCAACCATATCATACACTATTGAGGTTAAGATATTTTTTTGCTTGTTTTAGTGGTTTGAATACCAGAAAACAGGGAACTTTTTACGGTTTTAACTGTTCAAGCTGAAACAAAAATACAACTTTTCTTAATACATGCCGACTTTCTGTGTTTTAAATGTTAAAAACACCATGCTTTGTAGTCTTCAAACCATTTAAGCGTACATAAGCAGACATAAACCTCAATAGTGTAGCATATCGTTGGAAAGCTTATAAAATGGCACAGTTTTTAACATATTCCGACACTTTCTTGTATACAGGGTGTGAAAAATGCAATAGACCATTGTTTTTAAAATTTTTATCAAATATCTAAATTTTTATCTTTGAATCTATTTACCATGGAGTTTTTACAACTGATCCTCCGTAATTTTCTAAATTCAAAATTCAAATTCACTTTATTGTCACATAAAAACATTTGTACATAGCAAAGCTATTAAACTGGTGACATTGTCAATTCAATATAAACCTAAAAATACAATTAAGTTACAGAACATTTTTGTCTGACTCTAAAACAACGATTACATATAAAAATGCTGCTTAATTTTGTAAAAAGTCACTTACAGAGTAAAATACTTGGTTTAAAAGATAACTTTTTAGAGTATTCTTAAAACTCTTTAAACGGATTTGGCTTTTAATGTTTGTCGGTAGATTATTAAAGAACTTCATACCCATGTAACTAGGGCCCTTTTCATAGATTGTTAAGTTATGTATTCGGTATTGAAAATTGTCTTTGCACCTTGTGTTGTATGCATGTAAATGCTGCTGTCCACAAAGAAGATCAAAATTCTTCTGAATGAACAGTAAGCATGAATATATATAGAGAGAGGGAAGGCTCAATAATCCTAACTGTTTAAAGATTGGCTTGCATGAGACTCGTGGCCGCGAAAATGTCATAATGCGAACAATTCTTTTTTGAAACTTGAATATTTTTTTCCAATCAGCTGATGAACCCCATAGCTCAATTCCATATTTCATAATGGAATAAAAATAGGCAAAATAAACCATTAATCTAGTTTCCAAATCAGTTCTATCCCTTAACACAAGCATTTGGAAACAAGCAGAATTTAGTTTATTACCGAGTATTGTTATGTATTTTTTCCAGTTTAAATTTTGGTCAATTGAATGGCTCCGCCGTACAACGTTGTAACTTACAAAATCGAAATTTTACAGGAACAAAAAAAACTTTTTGTATGATATATTTATGGGCTTTTTAATATTTCTATTTAGACTAATCTAGGTTTTGTACCTGATTAATATATATTTATGTACATAACCTTGTTTGGGCACTTCACAAAAGAGTAATGACCTTTTTAACCTCAAAATCACACGGAACAACGTAGTAACTGACGTTAGTTACAACGTTGTTCTACGGACTCCGTAGTAACAGACGTCAGTTACAACGTTGTTCTACGGACAATTTATATTAAACATAAACAGGCTGAAGAAAAACACAACATCGTAGTTTCTTAAAAATATATTTTTACAGGATACATATTGTAAAAAAGGTGAATTGTTGGTTCTAAGGTATAAAAGATATTATCAACAATATAAAAGATACATAAAGTTATAAAATATTGTAATAATATTACAATGTAATCTATATAAAAATCCTGGTAATAGAAAGCCAAAGTTTAGGTAAAGTATTCTAAAAGTGCAGATATAAGCCCTGGCTAAAAACACTTTTGAAATACTTAGGTATTTTGTTCGTTTTCAACTTTAATATTTTCATAAAACGGTACATACTCTTGAGGTATGTATTGACACATATCCAATAGGTCCTTTTTCTTGTCAGCCTTTATCGGCAATGGTCCTTCATACAACCGCGGGAAGTTCTCTATTCTTACAGGGGGATATATTCTCGTTTCCTTCTTGGATCTCTTCTTTGAAATCTTCTTTGTAGATGTAGATGCATCACAATTCTTCGTTGCAGATGTAGATGCAGTGTCTTTTGGTTCCTTGATAACCTTAGCCAAAATGTGGCTGTTCCACGGCTGAAGGACATTGTGGGATGTTCTGCCTCTCAGAGTAGTTGGATCGTCTGCAGTTATTTGATACCAAACATTGTTTGTGATGTTAAAATTTTTAGTTGACAAACTTTTTGTCGCAATATCAGTGTTTCTAAAATCCTCAGTTTTCATAACACAAACTTTGAAAGGATGCTTTGAGTTTGCGTTTGCTATTACCTCGACCCAGTGAAAAGGTACATACACTCTTTTGCCTTTTTTTGCCTTTTCAATGAGGGCAAAATCCCTATCGCATGGCAAAAAGCTGTGCCCCGTAGTCATAAACTTTTGTTCTACTACTGTGAAGTATCCATTTACTACGAGATGCTGCAGCACACTTATCATTCTCCAGTTATTATTTTGGCCAATGCAACGATCTGACCAAAGCTTTAGTGTGCGGGTTTGACCTGGTGTCATTTTCGGAACATGAAGCTCAACATACTTTAAGAGACATGATGCAATTTCCGCTGATCCACGTTTGCCTACCGTCTCGTTCCAGAAAAACATATATGCTTCATTGTTTCCCATGTTATGTATAGCTAGATTATAGCATGAAAGCTGGCGTTGGTAAAACACATTGTTATGTGTGAGATTGGGGCAAAATAATACCTGTTCGAGATCTACACAGAGTACTAAATCATTTGAGTTTACCTCTGCATCTAATTTGTCACGCTCCAGGGCTTTATAGGCCGCATCTGCTTTAAAATGATGTAGCTTACTTTCGGTCTCTATTATTTTTCTTTCATCTTCGGTTTTACAATCAATTAACTTAATAAAGAAGCGGTCACATGTGGCACATGTATCGGACCTGGGCAAACCAAATCTTAAGTTAAAATCAGCATTAAAAATATCTCGGTACAGGTGGAGTTTTACATTGGCTTCCGGGTGTGCAGTTCGAAAAAGTTCATACATTTTTGAAATGCTCAAATTGGGATCTAAACACTTGGACTGGCTGTCCCTGCGTGAATAATGATTTTCCTGACTAGGAAATGAACGGATATGATGTCTAATTAAATCTCTGATTTCTTCAGGGACCTTCTCATGTTTACCATGGG